TATAATCCTTTTCAAAAAGGCTCATGGACTACCCCAAAAATGTTTATGCTAAAGACTAAAAATATAATGCCATGAGAATACATAGTACCATCAGCTATATAAAAAATGTTCCTAATTTTTCTCCCCATAATACGATCTAATGATCTTGCATACAATGCTATGGAGATAATATACAAAGCTCTTATTTTAAAAATGTTATCGTGCACCTGTAATGGTATAGAAAATATGCTGCAAAGGAAGATTTGGGAAAGTCCTTGCTTTTTTCAGTTTGAAGGTATTGTGGAAAGATGCATATTGTTTCCATGCTGCTTTAGGCAAGTTTGGTCAGTTAGAAAGATGTTCTGGCATGCTAAATGACAGTTGAACCTGTTACACTTAGCTCTTCTATAGGCTATTCTGGTGACACAGCAATGGGGAAAGGCAAAGATCATCATGAAACACAGAACTATAATAGGCCTTAAACTACACGTGTCAGTGCCCTTGTACTCCAGCACTGCAAAGAAGGGACCACAAAACTACACACCTTTAGCGTTCTCTTGTGAAGCTTGGAAACCTCAAGTGCTAGGCCACTGCAATGTGCAAGGTTTGACAACTCCTGGCAGTATTGGCCCATTATTATGAATGGCAGAAAATGGAGGTGAGAGGTGGCAAGCATAATGATTACCAGGTTTAATGCAAAGTTAAACCTTGCAGATTAGAGCAGCATAGAATTCAAGGCCCTTGGGTTTCCGAGAAGAACACCTAAAAGTTTTTCTACAGGCACTGCTTAGAACCTGAATCACTGTACAGCCTATTCAATACCATTAAGAAACTGACAAGTACAGTTACAAAACTATTGCCTCATAATGACAGTAAACTGAACCTGTCGTAAGTTTTTAACATGTAACGCTTAACATGGTTTCTTTGTATTAAAAATAAATATTCAGCTCTTCCATTCAGCAGTATCAAATGTATTATGAGAATTAAACCAGATATATACATTATTGTATTCATATGAGAGTACAGGCTTGAAATATTTTTCTGCTTTGAAAAGGCCATCATGTGCTCTTGACATTTAATGAAACATGTTTGTGCTAGTGAAATAGTCTGTTCTATTCTCTATTGTAAAAATAGGAAAATGGCTGATTTTCTACATTGTGACTATTAGCAGTGAAATAGCTGGATTTGCTAGTGTATGTATTTTTTATTCTGCCCTAAACAATCTGAAAATAATTGTAAAATGAATTCATGTTTGCCATTCCCACATTCTGAATATCTCAGGTAAACTGCATACAATGTTCTGCATTCCAATGCCCATTTACAACAAAGTCTCCATAATCTGCCTCTTTACAGTCAGTTACAATCTATGCCAAGCATATGCCATAAAACTTTATAATATGGATTCATCAGACAATTACACTTGTATGAAACTGGCAGTCAGCAGACAAAGAACAAGGAGTAGATGATAGGTTTCACTGAAGTTGCTACAATAGAGATAGGATCGTGATTCATATATTTAACTTGAAATTGTACCTCTGAGTGAAAATAAATATTATCATGAAGAATTGCAAAGTTACTCCATTTAAGTCTACATGACTAGTAAGAGAGATGTATTAATGTGGCCATTACACCATTTGCATTGCTTTAGCTATACATAGGTCTTATAGTGTGATTTAGAAAAGGCCACTATTTTGTGATTGGAACAGATGCATAAACATAATCTAACACACAGGGTTCACGTTCTAGCATAGGCCTGGTCTAGCCTCACATGGGCAGTTTTTACAAGTGAAGGGACCAAACCAAGGACTGAAAGATTATTTGTATTATTATTATTAATTATTATTAGGGATGTTCAGATATCAAGTACCATACTTGGTACAAGTACAAGTACATATGCAGAGACTTTTCCAGCTCAAAGACTAGACTACAGAAAAATTCAAAAGTTAGGAGGCAGCTGTAATTTTTTAAGGAGCATACGGGCCTCCTGGGATTGGTACATCTCTGTTTTAATGTATGATTTTTTAAATAAATATATATTTGGGATGCACCATTTTTTTCAAGTACAAGTACTGATACTTGTCCAAGTACTCATAGATACAAGTACTGATATATTGTTGTTTATTGTCATGTGACAGTTTTTCTAAAACAATACAGACTAATGATTTCAGGACAGTGGTGGACCGCTAGAGCTAGGTCCCAGGTGCAACCCTGGTAGTTCTCGTGAAAATGCCAAGTATCGGCACTGGTATCTGAACTGGTATCTGAACATCCCTAATTATTATAATTATTATTAATAATAATAATATTATTATTCATGATTTATATAGCACCAACAGTTTGCACAGCGCTTTACAAAATAAATGAAGACATTACAGTTACAATACAAATCAATATCAGTTTTTCTAAAACAATACAGACTAATGATTTCAGGACAGTGGTGGACCGCTAGAGCTAGGTCCCAGGTGCAACCCTGGTAGTTCTCGTGAAAATGCCAAGTATCGGCACTGGTATCTGAACTGGTATCTGAACATCCCTAATTATTATAATTATTATTAATAATAATAATATTATTATTCATGATTTATATAGCACCAACAGTTTGCACAGCGCTTTACAAAATAAATGAAGACATTACAGTTACAATACAAATCAATACAAAAGGGTTAAGAGGGTTCTGCTTGTGAGAGTATTAACATAAACAAGTACAAGGCCCAGTCTCACCTCAAAATGACCCTGGCTGTCATTTAATCCATAGGACTTGTGGCATCTAGAGGCATTACTGGAAAGGGAAAACTTCAAATTGAAGATACCGTATTTGCCGGCGTATAAGGCGACTGGGTGTAGAAGACGACCCCTTAATTTTCCACTTAAATCATAGGTTTTGGGCTATACACGTCATATAAGACTACCCCACTTCCCAGGCAACACCATTAAAAAACATAATTGATGGATGTGCGGTAATACTGTATGTACGGTAGCTTCAGCTACATACGGTATGCCGCGCTGAGCCAATCACAGCGAGCAATGTATTCTATTAATGAATACAAAGCTTGCTTGGATTGGCAGAGGTTGTGTACATCGCTCGCCGTAATTGGCTCAGCTACTTTATGTAGCCGAAGCTACCGTACATACAGAATTACTGCACAACCAGCGGGCTGACAGATTAGGGATGTTCGTTTTGGGCCAGCTTGGCCTAAAAGATCTAAATTTATACATTGTATACCCTGCGTATAAGACAACCCCCGATTTTCGGGGGATGTTTTTAAGTATAAAAAGTAGTCTTATACGCCAGCAAATACAGTAGGTATTCAAGCAAAGCTTCTTTTTTTTTTTAACAATGTCGACCTCTTGATTTTAAACAAAAAAGAAAGAACAAGGGATCCACTATAATGAAATATCACAGAAAACAACACTCAGAATGCTGCTGAACTGTACATAATTTTAAACACTATGCCCACTAATGTGTTCATTAGTCAGAAAAGATTCTTGTGTGTCCCTGTCTGTTTTAGTTTTGCTGGACTTCATGGCTAAGCTTCACAAACTAAAAAATCCACTATTTACTGGGCAATGAGAAACTCTTATTGGACCCTGGAAGGGCAGTTGGTGAAGCTTAGCCAAAAAGTCAGAGCAAGTAACGGTCAATTGTAGAGGATAACAGATTAGGTTTTCCTTGGTAGTAAAAGTAATAACAGGCGTCATCCGGAGGTAGCAAGTTTACTTCAAAATTTTAAAATGGAGCATAGGTTCACATTAAGAATTGTTTTCTTTCCCCCATAAATATGAATGCCTTTTATCTTGCTCATATTCTGGAGAAGAAGTTGAGGCACTGCATTCCAGTTGGTACACATTCTAAATCCATCTCTCTGCGGCAGTATTTAGCTTTAAATAATATTGAAAAATAACAACCTCAAAAACTGTAATAGATGAAAATAACAATGGCTTATAATCCTTTTCAAAAAGGCTCATGGACTACCCCAAAAATGTTTATGCTAAAGACTAAAAATATAATGCCATGAGAATACATAGTACCATCAGCTATATAAAAAATGTTCCTAATTTTTCTCCCCATAATACGATCTAATGATCTTGCATACAATGCTATGGAGATAATATACAAAGCTCTTATTTTAAAAATGTTATCGTGCACCTGTAATGGTATAGAAAATATGCTGCAAAGGAAGATTTGGGAAAGTCCTTGCTTTTTTCAGTTTGAAGGTATTGTGGAAAGATGCATATTGTTTCCATGCTGCTTTAGGCAAGTTTGGTCAGTTAGAAAGATGTTCTGGCATGCTAAATGACAGTTGAACCTGTTACACTTAGCTCTTCTATAGGCTATTCTGGTGACACAGCAATGGGGAAAGGCAAAGATCATCATGAAACACAGAACTATAATAGGCCTTAAACTACACGTGTCAGTGCCCTTGTACTCCAGCACTGCAAAGAAGGGACCACAAAACTACACACCTTTAGCGTTCTCTTGTGAAGCTTGGAAACCTCAAGTGCTAGGCCACTGCAATGTGCAAGGTTTGACAACTCCTGGCAGTATTGGCCCATTATTATGAATGGCAGAAAATGGAGGTGAGAGGTGGCAAGCATAATGATTACCAGGTTTAATGCAAAGTTAAACCTTGCAGATTAGAGCAGCATAGAATTCAAGGCCCTTGGGTTTCCGAGAAGAACACCTAAAAGTTTTTCTACAGGCACTGCTTAGAACCTGAATCACTGTACAGCCTATTCAATACCATTAAGAAACTGACAAGTACAGTTACAAAACTATTGCCTCATAATGACAGAATTGTATAAGCCTCTACATACCACAGAATTACTGCTAATTTATTTTTTTAAGCCATTGGTTACATAAAGTTGCTTTAAAATATTATTATTTGTATTTCTTTTAAAACTATCATTTTTAGCAGCTAGTAAACTCCACTCAGTATTCTACTCCATGCTATACAATGTTTGTTATTTATTTATGCTATGTGATTGCTCCTAAATTGCATATTCTGTATGTTCACTTCCAGGTTGCCCCCAGAGGTGGATCCCGTGACAGTGTTTGCCTCACTTTCTCCAGAAGGTCTTCTCATTATCGAGGCTCCACTTGTCCCTCCCTACCACCAGCAAGGAGATGAAACATACAACTATGAGCTGCCTCTTGACCCCCAAGAAGTCGTTTCTTCCTAAACTTTGTCTCCTGAAATGTTCTCTCAAGAGTCTCCAAAAAAGTGCATTTGATTTCATGTTTCTTTTTATAATCTGTAAACCATTTTTGGAGCTCAACAATCATAGACAACCCCTGGGACAAAATGCACTAGTTGGGCTTTAGCTGAAGTAAAGGCATAGCCTGTTTTGGATTTATACATCATATGGATTAAAATTTTATACATAGGCAAAAAAAAAAAAACAATTGCCAATTAATAGAAACACATTAGTCTTTATCTGTATACTGAACATCTTTTTTTCTAAAGTAGGTGTGCCATTTTTACAAAAAAGGTTGTGTGTGGTCAGTTGGAGACAAAACGAATTACACAGAAAGTATGTTGTCATCCCAATCACAAGTATGCTCCAACAAAGAATATAAGATCATTATTCTCTTTATGAACAATCCATGCTAGATATGCATGTAATTACATATTTTGAAGCAGAAACCCACAACACCCAATCTTAACTGCAACTATACAGTATAGTCATACTGACAAAATACAATATAGGCATAGAAACAAGTTCTGTAAGTTTACATTTTTAAGAAATAATATTGTATCCATTTCATGACTTCAAGAACGAAATTAGCATACAAGACTGCAAATGGGTTTAAACACTATAGAACAATGGCAACAGTCAGAAGGGCATTTAAATATAGGGCAGTACCCATCAGCATGTTATATTCAATGTGTTGTTGTAAAGCGAGGCCTATACAAGCAGTTCACAGGTAACTAGCTAATGATTACAAAAAGCCGCTCAAGTCATAATTACAGAAAATAGACCAATTTGCAGCACAAATGCATATTCTTGAGGTCTTACATGCTCTTTAATTTTTGTCTGTATACTTTACTTGAGATCACAAAAGCTGAGCTTTTCCATTGTGCACTGTGGAAGGATATAGAAAATTAGCTTACCTAGTGTGTGACATAACTAGGTTTGTATGTACTGTATATTGGAAGTTTTAAAGGGTGTTCTTTTTCATTCATTTGTCATGCTATAATTATGAAGATTAAATATTTATAAACTTCTATGGAATGTGTGTTTGGATTTTATTCAATTAGATATGAATGACAGTTATCCATTGAACTTCTTAAGGACTCTGTTAGGCAATATTTGGCTCTAAACATGGTCACATTGCCTAACCACATTATAATTAACAAATCACCTCCAGTCCAAAAAAAAATGTGTTTTGTGGTGTCTTGTGCCTCATGCAGAGATGAAGTGTGAATTTGTTTACCTTTGTATGGCCTCTTCTCTCCACCAGACATGTGCACTGCCAAAAAATTTGTTTAGTTTCGTTTCGTTTTAAATTCGAATTTGTGTTATTTCGTTTTTTGGGATTCGGGTGTGAAAGTCAATTCGGATTCGGAATTCGGATTCGGACGAAATTCGGGAGCGGTAGGTCGAACGTTCGTTTCGTTTTCTGTTCTTATTTGTTTCCTTATTCGTTTCGTTCGTTCGTGACATTTGAGGGGGAAAAAATATTTTTCTCCTTCTCTAATGTCACTTTGCTCCAACGAACGAAACGAATAAGAACCCAGAAAGAAACGAACGTTCGAACTACCGCTACTGAATTTCGGAAATGGAAATTCGGATTCGTTTGCATTCGTTATGTCTGTAATTCGGAATTCGGATACATCCGAATGTCTGAATTTCCGAAAATTCGTCCGAATTTCGATTCGGAACGAAACGAATCGCACATGTCTACTCTCCAGTGTGTCATAGCTGGAAGGTCCAAATTAGGACATAAATCCAGGTCTACATTATGCAATGCAAGCTTTCAGTGCTGCGATATTTGTAAACTATTGTGCTAATCATTAGCAAAAGGTAGTGAAGGACTGGGCACATTTATTTTCTTTATTATTTATATAGTGCTGACAATTTTAAGCAGCGCTTAACACTGATGTGCACATTCACATCAGTCCCTGCCCTCAAGGAGCTTACAAGCTAAGGTCCCTGTCTCACTTGCATATGAGAGCCAATTGACCTAACAGCATGTCTTTGGATTGTGGGAGGAAACCCATGAAAGCACAGGGAGAACATGCAAACACCTTGCAGACAGTGTCCTGACCGGGATATGAACCAGGGTCCCTTAGTGCTGCAAGGCAGAAGTGCTAACCACTGTACCACTGTGCCACCACATGCAACATTGTTTTTAAGGGTGTTAGGTAGTAAGCTGCACATTGACTGCACATTGAGGAACCTGGACTTGGGGCAGCAGAGAGAGTAAATCTGGCCCTGGAGAAGGAGATATCTGAGAGAGACACACAGAGCACAGTGACAGAGAGGAGGTCTACAGACACAACAAGTGCAGGAGATCTCCCTCACACACACAGACACACAGAACACAGTGACAGAGAGAAGGTCTACAGACAACAAGTGCAGGATATCTCCCTCACACACAGAACACAGTGACAGAGAGAAAGTCTACAGACACAAGTGCAGGAGATCTCCCTCACACACAGACACATAGAAAACAGTGACAGAGAGAAAGTCTACAGACTCAACAAGTGCAGGAGATCTCCCTCACACACAGAACACAGTCGCAGAGAGAAGGTCTACAGACACAACATGTGCAGGAGACCTCCATCACACACACACACACACACACACACACACACAGACACACACAGAGCTAAGAGGAGATCGCCCACACACACAAAGCTATGAGATGTGATGATGACTCATAGGGAGGAGTTCTCTTCTCTGCTCTCTCCTCAGAGTTGAGTGTGTGCTCTCATGAGGAGTGGTCAGCACACTGAGCTCAGCAGAACAGAGAGGAATCAGCTGATTGGAGTTTACAGATAACAATCCGACCCTCAGTAGAGACAGATCAAAGATCCTGTGGAGGGAATTTTGAATTTCTAGGACTCTGGCCTGTGAAAGAGTCCATTAAAAAAGTATGAAAAACAGTGCTGTGAGTCCTGACAATGCACACACATTTAAAAAGTTGGCTGCTTTTAAAAAGTCAAAGGCCTAAATTGTCCAAAGAGGTCCATTACAACTTAAAGAAAAGACTGTGACTACTCTTAAAGAGTCATACGATTGAGTTTGGCTGCTTTTCGTAGTGCTAATGTCTACCAAAAACCTAGAGAAAGGCAAACATAAGCTATACTAAATTGGGGTTTTGAAAATTCTGATTCACTTTGTAATCTTTAAGATCTGCTGCTCTCCCAAAGTTGAAGTCAGCAATAAAATTATAAAAAGACTAAAGTGACAGACGCACAACTGTTTTTCACCCAAACATACATCGAGGATCCAACCCCTCAGAAGTAAATGTTAGCCTGCCACACTTTTTTGGGGGCCATTCCCAGCTTTAGATGAGAAGAGCTTTAACACTATGGGGTCTATTCACGAAGCAGCCGAAGGATCTAGCCGTAGCTTCAGCCGATCGTTCGGCTAGCTTCGGCCTCAGGACCCCTTCGGTTCAGTAGAACCGAAGGCTGCTGTACGGGCTATTCACAATAGCCCGTACAGCTCCCGAACTTGGCCGAGCGGCTCAGTGGAGCCGAACGCATATGTCTCGGCTCGGCTGAGCCGCGCTAAAAGCATTGGCTCCGGCCACTTGCAGAGAGATCAGCGTCCCTGGATACCAGCTAACTAGGGACACTGATCTCCAGACAGCAAACTCTCCCGGGCGCTCCGGGAGTCTCCCGCTCCCGGTCGCCAAGGAGAGAAACACTGCTTTTTCTTTTTTTTTCATTCTGACACGGAGCGATGTCAGAGTAGAAAAAAAAAAGAAACATTTTTGGCCATAGGAATTCATTGCTAGATTCCTATTGGCAATTTCAATTTGCAATAGCCAATAGCAAACTAGCATTGCACCCGCCCTCTGCTGCAGTTCTCCATCAGGTCCACCACTACTGATTGACAGCAGCAGAGGGCGGGTACAATGCTAGTTTGCTATTGGCTATTGCTCAGCGGCATTCAGCTATTCACTCACTGCTGTTCGGCATCTATGAGAATAGACCGAACAGCAGCGAGTAGCCTGCCAGGCATGTTCGGCCGACCCGAAGCAACGCGAAGCCACCCGATGTACGGCTGATTTCAGCCGATGTACGGCTGAAATCAGCCGTACCAGCCTGAATTGAATAGCCGAACAGAGTTCGTCTCACTTCGCTTTAGGTCGGTCATTCACTCGGCTGCCTACGGCAGCTTAGTGAATAGACCTATATTTGTTTTACTGGTGTTAAAGTAGAACTTTACATACTAGGGGGTTGATTTACTAAGGGCAAATAGGGTGTTCACTTTGCAAGGAAATTTGCTCTTTGCAAGGAAACGTTTCCCTTTGCTTAGTGAATGTGGTGAAAATTCACTTTGTAAAGAATACCCAATCATGTGCAAGTAAAATAGAAAAACAGTATTGTTTCCTTGCATATGATTGGATGATGAAAAGCAACAGAGCTTCACCACATTCACTAAGCTAAAGAAAATGTCCTTGCAAAGTGAACAGCCTATTTGTCTTTAGTAACTCAACCCCTATGTCTCTTCTGCAATAAAGGATTCTTATCTGTTTGTTCACATGCGCAGCTCACTGTACAACTAAGAAGATGTTGGTGCCAAAGATAAAGCTCACGGAAGGGGAGGTGAGTATATTTCTGCTTCAACCTGGCTTAGATTTTTTTGGGGAACACTGTAAAAAAGCCAAAGAGTTCTTTTGTACATGACATATAATTTATTTTAGAATACATTTCATATATTATAAATGTAACGCCCAAGTGGAAAGGGTGCTCTTAAATTTAGTGATTGTCAGATTGCTATGAGTGGATATCCCTCCCCAGCCAATCACTGTTGAACGATGGCCAGTGGTGCATGCTGGGGGAGGAGATAAATACTTGGGGCAGACCATGTGAGCTCTCTCTTCCTCCCCCGGGCCCAGCCTGTGGGGAGGCTGCGCTGGACTGCCTGAGCTGGCTGGGCCTATAAGCCTGGGGACTGGCCATGGAATCTCCATGAAACCTGGTGGCAGCAGGTCCAGTGGTTGCTACTGCTAATGACAAGGATCAGTAACTTCTACTTCAAGTAATGCTATGTCAGGTGTTCGACCTGCTGTGCATGGAAACAGTAACCACACTCTGAAAAGCAATGGAGTCTACATCTGCCTGGATGATCCTAACCTTTCTCCTCTCTCCCTGAAGTTCTCCAATAAAAGTTTCAAGCATCATAACTACAGTCTGGACCTCTCTTCAATTGATCATCAGAAAGGGCGTTAACTGTTGATGGGTGTAGCGAGTGAATGTGTCCCTAGAAGAGAGAAATTCAGAGCTGCTGTAACCCATATCTACCGACCCTAGTAATCAAGGTGTGCTGTGGATCTATAATAAAGGTTTATAAAGAGCAAAGACACGGAGACCCGTTATTTCATTTTACAGTAGATAACCCCTTCAGAGCCACTGGTAGTGTTATCCTGTGTTGGGACATCGCTGACCAGGGAAGGGGGACGATGCATAAATATCATGACCAGGCTAATTAACATGGCATACTCTTTTTACTTTGTGCAATAATCCCTCTCTACAATATACCTGCTAATCCTGTAAAGGTTAGCGATTATTATTTTTTCTCAGAAGTTGGCAAGTTGATTACTGCTCAGATCAATAAACAACCAGACTGTGGTGAATCTACTGGAAAATGGTTTAGCTCTCCTCATACCAGGCCCCAAACATTAACGACACAGAAGATACAATTATGTACTTATGTACTTAGTCAAGTCCCACTTCAGCAGAAGATGTGATGCTGGCCTACCTGACATGTGAGCCAGCT